CCTATATCCCCAGTCCTTTTATTTTTTTATTTTGAGACAGAGTCTTGCTAAGTTGTTTAGGGCTTTCCTAAATTGCCAAGCTAGCCTTGAACTTTTGATCCTTCTGCCTCAGCCTCCTGAGTTGCTGAGATTACAAGTGTGCGCCACCAAACCCAGCCTGGCTCTATCATTCTTACCAGAATTTGAAAAGTGCCTAGTATGGTGGCACAAGCCTGTAATCCCAAAGATTCCGGAGGCTGAGGCAAGAGGATTGTAAGATTGAGCCAGCCTTAGCAATTTAGCAAGGCCCTAAGTAACTTAGTGGGACCCTGTCACAAAATAAAATTTAAAAAGTCTGGGCATTGTAGCTCAGTGGCAAAGAGTCCATGGTTCAAGATTCAATCCCCAGTACAAAAAAAAAAAAAAAAAAAGAAAAGAAAAAAGTGACTTTAAAGTAATGAAGCTGACTCACACTAATGCCAATCAATGACACTTGGCCCAGATTGCTTTCCACTAACTTGTAAGTAGAGTTAAAAGCAGGGACAAAATAAAGCAGAATTGTAAGAACAAATGTAAATAACAAGGATATGGCACTTTTGTTACCCTGACTTACTCTTATACTGATTATGTGACCTAGGTAAATTTCTGCCTGAACCTAATTTTTCTTTTTCTTTTTTTCTTTTTCTTTCTTTCTTTCTTTCTCTTTTCTTTTCTTTTCTTTCTTTTTTTTTTTTAACCAGGTCACTTAACCACTGAGCCACATCCCTAGCCCTTTTTTGTATTTTATTTAGAGACAGGGTCTTGCTCAGTTGCTTAGGGCCTTACTAAATTACTGAGGCTGGCTTTGTACTCAATATCCTCCTACCTCAGCCTCCAGAGCAGCTGGAATGGCAGGAATGCGCCACTGTGCCCAGCAGGAACCTAATCTTTTTAAGGATGGTCTACCTGAAGGCCAGAGAAGTCCTTCTTCTATTGAGCTGGCTGAGACTGGTTGGATCTGAGATGGCTGCTAGAGTGAACCTGGACAACCTCTAACTTGATTATAATCCCATCTGTGTGCTAGATGACACACCCCCTGGTGCTGTGACAGTTGATAATTGCCATGACAGAAAGAAACATACAAGGAGCAAAACGTATTCAAATTTCTAGAAAATCTTCTGGCATTTCCGGAAAATACATGAGTGTTCCTCCCCTTTTATTAGCGTATTTCTCCCCCTCATTTTTAACCTATATTTATAACCTCCCCACGCCCCAAAGTAGGGAGATGATTTGCCAGTTGATCTCCCACTTCTTCTATTTCTGGCCAAAATAAAAGTCTTTTTCATTGCTGAGTCCAGGCTCGGTCTTGTTATTTGACTCCACATCTCCAAGTAGGAGAAAAGACCCAGCCTTTGTGATCAGATATTGATTAACACTTTCTCTTACTGACTTACCCCAGGTTGGAATGCTGTCCTAGATCCTACAAATTCCTGCTTAATTTTTTTAGGCAAGATGCTTAATTATTGCTGGGTTTAAGGGGAAAAAATCAGTATCCTATCTTCCCACTGATATTATGTTTTGGTAATAATTTCAACCTTTGGAGAAGACAGCATGTTAATGAAACAAAACCTCAGCATTGGCTCAAACAAGGCCAGATTTAATCCCAGAGCCACATATATTGGCTGCGTACCATTGAATATTCATTACAAACCTCTCCTATTCCTCATTTTTAAAAAAGGCCAGGCATAGTGGCCCACATCTGAAATCCCAGGAGGCTAAGGCATGAGAATCCCAAAATCAAGGCCAGCCTCAGCCTCAGCAACTTAGCAAAATCCTATCTCAAATAAAAAATAAAAAGGGCTGGGGATGTGGCTCATGTGGCTTAGTGGTCTTAGCATCCCTGGATTCGATTCCCAGTACCCTCCCCCAAAAAAGAATCTGCAAAATGGGAATAAATGCAAGGATTAAATGAGACGACAAATGGGAGGCCCAAGCACAATACTAGACACACAATAAATGGGAGTCTCCCTTTCCTTTTTATGTCAGTTTAGATTATGAACATAAGTTAACTCCCCACCAAGAGCTGCTTCTGACTGAGGGCACCATTTTCTGGGATAGGAGCTCTTGGTGGCCCTTGATTGCGACGGCTGATGGCACACATCTGGAAACTATGACAGCCAGTTTGCTTTGAGTTCAACTTGGCCCCAGTGTCTATAGAAGGCAGCTTCTATCCTTCAGTTTTTCCCAACACATCATAGCTTGGCTTGGATATGGGAAGAGGGGTAGCTGTCAAAGGAAATGCACCATGTTTGGAAGGAACTGAGATTCAACTAACAATTACCAAGTCCCAAGTCCCATATTGTCCTACTGGGGCCCTGTCCCTAGAGCTTTTATGGCTAGTCTCATTGAAAATACTACTGGGAGCTTTATTTTGATGCCTCCTTTGCAGATGCTTCAAATGAGATTGGAAGATTCAGTGACTTTCCCAAAGTCACAAGGATAATAAGGAATGGACTTGGAAGAAGATCCCAGACTTTTGGGTTTTTTGGGGGGTGGAGGGTTACCAGTAATTGAACTCAGGGGCACTCAACCACTGAGCCACATTCCTAGCCCTATTTTGTATTTTATTTAGAGACAGGGTCTCACTGAGTTGCTTAGCATCTCACCCTTGCTGAAGCTGGCTTTGAACTCTCAATCCTCCTTGCCTCAGCCTCCCAAGCAGCTGGGATTACAGGTGTGCACCATTGCACCTGCTCCCACACTTTTTGATATGGCAGTAAAGCAAGGAAAGAGCACATATAGTGCTGCGAGATCAGCAGCTGCAGCAGCTGCCTGCCAGAGTCTACTCTGAGCTGACAACTCTTTAACAAGTTCAGAGAGAGGAAGGCCCAAGAAAGCTTCCTTGGCCTTTAGAAACCTTGTGTCCAGGCCCTCTGTCCATTATCACATATAAACTGGGACAAGTAGTGGCAAAGGGCTAAATAAACATGCCCTATGGGGCCAGGGGTGCAGTTCTGTGGTATAGCCTTTCTTAGCATGCAGAGCCCCTGGCTTTGATGCCCAATACTGCAAAAACAAAGAGAAGCCCAATACAACACAAGACAAAAAACCATGCCATGTAATCAATACCTGATCACAAATTGAAACAAAAATCCATTTTGTAAAATACTTCCAGCATCATTTATTTAATCTTTTCTTTTCATACTAGAGATTGAATCCAGGGACACTTTACCACTGAACTACATACTCAGACATTTTTACTTTTTTATTTTGAGACACGCTCTCACTAAGTTGCTGAGGGCCTGGCTAAGTTGCTAAGGCTGGCCTCAAACTTGTGATTCCCCTGCCTCAGCCTCCAGAATCTCTGGGCTCATAGGTCTGTACCATGTAGCCATATGTCATATTTAATATTTTGGGTTTTATTTGCTTGCTTGCTTTATTTTGATGATTCAGAAGGTATTTTAGGACCAATATTAACTATCATTAATTCAATGAAAATCTACTAATCTACCTATACTGTTTAAAAGCACTGTTCTAGATGCTGGGGATACAAAAACTCTTGAATAAAACCTCTTCCAAGTGCCATCTGTTGTAACAGATTAAGTAGTGTAAATTGAGATTTGAGGGGTTTTTTTGGGCAAAGAATGCTAAAAATTAAAAGTCAGCTGTCTTTATTTATTTATTTTTTATTGTTTAAAGAAATACAGAGCAGTCCTAATGGCAATTCCTTTATGGGCTTATTAGTAACTTTTTCTTAATTTTCATTTTTCTCTCTTCTTTGATTGACAAAAGGACCCCTTTATTTCCAGGAGTAGTTTTGGGTCCCAGCATACCCAGCTTCTTCTCCTCCCTTATCCACTGTCAAAGGAGAGTTATCAGAGTGTGGGTTTCAGTACAAGCCTGACTGGATGAGTCAAACTGCTACAGTAAAAACGCTGCTAGGGCATGGTGTGATGGCCCACTACTGTGATCCCAACAACTGGTGAGGCTGAGGCAGGAGGATTGCTAGTTTGAAGCCAGTCTTAGCAATTTAGCCAGACCCTGTGTCAAAATTAAAAATGAAAAGTACAATTTTTTTTTTTTAAAAAAGTGCTGCTAGTGTTTAAAAAAAGAAAAGAAAACTACACTTGTTTGGTGGCAGCTGCCTGTAATCCCAGCAATTCAGAAGACTGAGGCAGGAGGATTTCAAGTTCCAGGTCAGCCTCAGCAATTTAGTGACACCCTATCTCAAAATAAAAACTAAAAATGGGTACTTAGCTCAGTGGTAAAGTGCCTCTGGGTTCCATCCTCAGGACCAACAAAACAGGAAACAAAAATAAAACAAACAACAATAATTTAAAAAATCACAATGCAGTATTTCAACTCCCCTCCCTTCAAATCAAAAGCCTAGAGAATGAAATTAGGACCGTTATTCCAGTACAATTATCCTGCGGATGTCCAATTGAAACACTAAAAGTAAATCATACATTTGGATATTACATTTCATATTTGAAAACGTGCCAGAAAAGTTTTATTATCTTTGAGCATAATGTCAGGAGACAAACCTCTACAAATTTTATACATAACTTTTTCCATTTTATCTGTTTTCCATTTATGTTGAGTTGAACACATGATGCGACTTTTAATATTCTCTCTTCCTTCTTCTTTTCCGCGTTTAATGCCAAGAGAGCAAATTCAATCTTGATTATCCTAAATTTGCCTTTGGGTAATCTCAGACCAATTTTTTTTTTTTTAAAGTTAGCATGGAGAAGGAGCAAAGAAGAACTTCTAAGTAAATTTATAAAAGAGGTCCTGTAGATGCAAACCAACAGCCTGGAAAAGGGAACAGCAAGGCACCCATGAATTATAGAAGACGATCTTGGCTCCAGGCAGTTCTTGCCAGCTCAGGTATCAAATCAAGGAAACTGATCATAAAACAGGGCAATAAACAGTGGATGGCGGTGGAAATAAAAACCCCTTGCAGAAGCAGGGCTGGGTGGGGTCTGGCGACGGGGCTGCAGGTGCAGGAGCCGGGCGCTCCGCGTGGGGGCGCCCGAGCGCATGCGCCGTGGGTGACGTCAAGGTAACAACCGCCGCCCGAGGATGGCTTCCAGCTTCAAGAAGACGAACGTGGCCTCCACCAGCCAGAAGAAAAAGGTGGGTCCTAAGCCCGAACTCACTGAAGACCAGAAGCAAGAAGTTCGGGAAGCGTTTGACCTCTTCGATGCCGACGGAAGCGGGACCATCGACGTGAAGGAGCTCAAGGTGGCCATGCGAGCGCTGGGCTTCGAGCCCAGGAAGGAAGAGTTGAAGAAGATGATCTCCGAGGTGGACCGGGAGGGCACGGGCAAGATCAGCTTCAACGACTTCTTGGCCGTGATGACTCAGAAGATGTCGGAGAAAGACACCAAGGAAGAAATCATGAAGGCTTTCAGGCTCTTCGACGACGACGAGACCGGGAAGATCTCCTTCAAGAACCTCAAGCGAGTGGCCGCCGAGCTCGGGGAGAACCTGACGGACGAGGAGCTGCAGGAGATGATCGACGAGGCGGATCGCGACGGAGACGGCGAAGTGAACGAGGAGGAGTTCCTCAAGATCATGAAAAAGACCAACCTCTATTAAAGTCACTCCAGTGACTCACTGGGTCCCTTGCGTCTGTATTCCCTCCTTCCTCTCTGGTTTGTCTTGATGGATTTCGAACCTCGAAATCAATTATAGTATTTAAAAGATTCCTGTAACCTGAATTCCTTTTTTTTTCTTCTTCTTTCTTTTTCTTTTTCTTTCTTTCTTTCTTTCTTTTTTTTTTTTTAATTCTCTAAGAGCAAACCTTCAGTGCCATTGGTTAACTTAAGGGCTCTGAAACTAGAGTCCACCCACCGCTGGCCTAAACCTGGTGGACACCCATTAAACACGAGCAACTTCTTCCAACAAACAGAAATGTGGTTCCCATGTCGCTTCTTTGGTGGTCTTCAATGATCTTGCTTCATAGGTCATTCCTTAAATTTAAGTTAGCGTTCTAGCATGAGGAGGTAGAATCTGCCAGCAGGTCCTTCAAGCCATTGCTTGTCACTTAGCTGAATACTGGTTTGAAGAAAAACAGTATGGACATTTCTGAATTTACTGACTTCAGGAAAGACACTGTTTTTTAAAGGATAGGCTTGCCTTTGGGAGGTAGTAAACTGGGCAATGTAGACTGTTCCCTGGCTTCATCAAATGCAAATGAGTCCGTGTTTCATGACTGTAAATTATCTACTGAGGGTTATCCAGGACCAAAAGATCTACAGAATAAGAATAAAATTTCATATTGATCCAAGCAAAATATATCTTCTTTATGGATTAAGCTAACTAATGATTTTGTGTGTGTTTAGTATTGGGATTGAACGCAGGGGTGCTCTACCACTGAGTTCACCCCCAGACCTTTAAAAAAAAAAATTGAAACAGGGACTTGCTAAGTTGTCCAGGATGGTCTCAAACTTATTTTCCTGAGCAGCAGGGAACAGGGATTACAGGCATGCACTCCCACAATTGGCTAATGATTTTTTTTAAGTAAATATTTACATACAGGGTCTTAGTTTAGGAAACTGTTTTAAAATATCTATTTCTGGGTTTGATCTCCAGCTCCACCATCTCCCCCCAAAAAAAAAGGAAAGAGAAAAAATTCTGACACATTTTAAGCTCACTTATCTGTCCTGGAAAGATCAATGGATAAATGGATATTTTAGTTATTAACAGTAGTATAAAATAACCACTATATGCATTTTATTATTCTTAGATGTGAACCACTACCTACCTTCTAATTCTTAGAACCTCTTGGTTCTTGGTACTTGATTTATTCCCCCTCTATATAGTCAATGTCAGAGTGACAGTGATATAAATAGTTCTGTTTTTTAAATCCCAGTAAACTATTTTACCATAACTTGTGTATGTGTTAATACCATTTAGTTTCTGTTATAAATTAAAACTCTTGTTTTAAAATGAAAGACATGTGCTCTTGAATACGAGGTTTTGACAAATGGCAATAAAAATTGTTAAAGAGAAAGGCAAGATATTTTGGTCACAACTAAACCTAAATTAATCTTCATATAAAGTCTTATTAAAATAAATGCTCAAGTCCTGGAAAAGTTTTCACTTGTTCTGCCAGTAATTTTACCCTTCAGAGGGTGGTGGCTCTAATCAGGGGAACTATTACTTGGTGATCCTCATTAAGGGACTCATTTGTCAAAGCAGTGGTACTAGCTGAAGTGATGGATATGTGGGCATTCACTGTGAGAAAGGATTTTGCTGAGGTAGCTGGCACAGGGCAGGGGACTCACTCAGGCCGCAGATGATGCTACCAGTTCAGGGTCAAGGACTTTGTGTGGGCTCAGGTGCAATTATGGTGGCAACAGGTGCAACTTGGGCCAGCATCTATGTGAAGGGCCTGATCTGAGGACAAAGGGGACTTATGGCATTCTGGGAAATGAGAGTTCCTGTTGACCAGAGTCTTGGCACAAGCATTGACATATCAACCAAGGTAGAAATACCAGAAAGAAAGTTGGCAGAAACTAGGAGACGGGTTCAGAGCCTCTGCCAACTGGATGGGGCTCAGCATTGGCTCCTGGCCCAGCAGAGAAGAGAAGTGAAAACCAGGAACCTGGGCTGACGTCCAGCAGTCAGGCTGGCCACACTGAGGGGTCAGTTGCAGAGGCTGCAGCATAGTACCTAAAGGGGTGATCTGAGGTCACAGTCCATCCCCAGACCAGGAAAGGGGACTCCAGAATTTCTGAATCCCATTCACTGCTAAGAAAGAATCTCTCAGTGCATTGAATAATGTGTTGTTCTGCTTCTTGGCTGGTTCCTGCTGTATAGAGAACAGAGAGTAATCCAGGGTAGGAGGAAGAATTAGAATATGCCTACACTGACATTTGAATTTTAAGAGAATTTAATCATACACTGACTGGGTCAGACATAGACCATTTTTTGTGGGAGAGGGTAATTGAAGATTGAACCCAGGTATGATCGTACTACTAAGCTACAGCCCAATCCTATTTTTTAAATTTTCAGTTTGAGAAAAGATTAATTAAGTTGTCCATGTTGACTCAAACTTGTGATTCTCCTGCCTCAGCCTCTGGGGTAGCTGGGATTGCAGGTGTGCCCCACTGTGCCCAGCTATATCCTGGTCTTTACAAAAGTAGACCACACAAAATTTTAGACATCTTTATGAAGATGAGGAAATAGCTATAAGGGATGGAAAGAACTAAAAATGTCATTTTCACTGGGCTATCACAAATTATTCCGATAAAGAAAAGAAGCATACCAAAGATAATATGACTGTAGGATCCTCAGGGGTATGCTCTTGCTTTCTAATGATATTTGTAACAGTTGAAAAGCAGAGTATTAGGCCAAGCATGAAAATACAGCAATATCAGTTATATTAATATATTATCAATTAAAGCTAATTCAAATGTATTCTGCTGACGTGTGTAACTAAACAGAACAAATTTTTTAAAGATTAAAAATTCCAAAAAGAAAAAAAAAAAGAAAGTTAATTCTCCAAATGAGAAAAGAACATTTAAGGGTTATTTCAGTTATGTTTCCAAAAAGAAGAGATAAGTAGGGATAGGTCTAACTCTTGAGATCATTGTAGTGTAGTTTCGATGGGAAGCATACTTTTGAGTCTGAGGTTTAATTCAAGTGTGCCTTGAGGATCACACAGAGAGAAGGGAAGGAGCCAGGACTGGGAAAGAAAGAGGTTATGCTGTGATCAGGTTGCAACAAAGGCTTCAGCTGATCCCTGGGAGCTCTGAACTTGATGGCTGGCCCTGCAGAAATGTCTCAAGTTGGGATAAGAGAGCTGGGTCTTTATAACTTCTCACTGATTAACACTCACTGGACATGAACTATCCCCAGAAGTGGGGGTGTAGCTTTGGGTAAGATGGCCCTCTTTGGTTAAGGGCAATCCCTGAGACGGGCAGCCCAGCTACAAACTGTCCTCTGTCAACTTCTCAGCACCTGGGAGAATGAGAATGCTTCAGTTCCAAGGTGCAGGCAGGGCAGGTGGGTAAAAAGGGGGAATCTGGGTAGTGTCCCATAGCTTCTACTATAATCCACCTCTTGCACCAATTAGATCCACTGGCCTTTGGTTTTGTGGGTTTGTTTGTTTGTTTGGGGGTACTGGCTATGAACGCAAGATTTTACCTCTGAGCTCCATCCACAGCCCTTTTTTGTTTTGGTTTGTTTTATTTGAGATAGGGTCTTGCTAAGTTGCTTAGGGACTCACCAAGTTGCTGAGGCTGGTCTTGAACTTGCATTCCTCTTTTTTTTTTTTTTTT